TATTATTAACTAATTGTGTATCAAAGCTGTAGGACTTATTCATTCTGCATAAGTGAAACACGGTACCCTGTGAACAACATCTTCCCATTCTCCCCACCATCTCACCTAATTCTTTATTACATGTCCTTTTTTGGGGGGGTCAAATAATTTTAATACCACCTTTCCATTTTTATAGCCTCCAATTTTATGATTAAAAATTACTTAACATAATTAATGACCATTTTTTTTTTAGAATACTTCCAGCCGGATTTTTTTTTCTCTGTACATATATAAATACTTAATTCTTTAAGAAAAAAACTTCTTACCAATATTTACACAATAAATATAATTTCTAAAAGTTGAAAGGGGAAAGAGCAACTAAATAAATAATTCAACCAAAAGAACAAAAGAACAGTTCATTGCTCACGGAATTGGAGAAAATATTTACAAAGTATGTCACTGATAAGGATCTAATAGCAGAATATATTAAGGACACTTACAACTCAACAATAGAAAGGCAAATAACCTAATTAAAATATTGGCAAAGGACTTGAGTAGGTATTTCTCTGAAGCAGATATACAAATGGCCAATAAGCACGTGAAAAGATGCTCAACATCATTAGTCACTAGGTATGTAAATCCAAGCTATAATTAGATACCACTTTATGTCCACTGGGATGGTTAGCATTTTAAAAATGGAAGATGACAAATATTGGTGAGGATGTGCAGAAACTGGAACCCTTGGGCATCACTGTAGGAATGTAAAATGGTATTGACGTAGCAGAAAACAGTTTGGCAGGTCTTCAAAAACCTAAACAGAGAATCATCATATGACCCAGCAATACTGCTCTCCTAAGTATATACCCTAAAGAACAGAAAACATACATCCCTACACACAGCTGCATTTGAATGTTCATAGCAGCATAATGGCCCAAATTCATAACTAGAAAGTAAAAAAAAAAAAAAAAAGTTCATTAACTGATGAATGGATGGATGATGCATAAATTGTGATACATCTGGGATCCCTGGGTGGCGCAGCAGTTTGGCGCCTGCCTTTGGCCCAGGGCGCGATCCTGGAGACCCGGGATCGAATCCCACGTCGGGCTCCCGGTGCATGGAGCCTGCTTCTCCCTCTGCCTGTGTCTCTGCCTCTCTCTCTCTCTCTCTCTCTCTCTGTGTGTGACTATCATAAATAAATAAAAATTTATAAAAAAAAATTGTGATACATCTAACCAATAGACTAGCATTCAGCTGCACAAAGAAGTGAAGTACTGATGCATGCTTGGATGTAGGTTTGGAGGAACGATTGCTGAAAACATAATGCTAAGTGAAAGAAGTCAATCACAAAAGGTCACATATTGTATGGCTCCATTCCTATGGAATTTCTGGAATAGTTAAATCCACAGAAACAGAAGTAGATTAGTGGTTGCCAGGGGCTAGGGGTATTATGGGTACAGGGCTTCTTTTCAGGGTGCTGAAAATGTTCTGGAATTAGATAATGATGATGGTTGGACCATCTTGTGGGTATACAAAGAACCACTGAATTATGTATACACTTTAAAAAGAGTCGATTGCTTATCATCTTTTGGTTGTGAGAAAAAAATCATAAGCAAATATACCTGGAAAATGAATAATAAAGCAAGCAGAAGTAAATGGGCTAGCTTTACCTGAGTGGTTTAGCTGTGGTGAAGTATCCTGCTGAAGCAAGCAATCATGTTCTTCTGCTGTTTTCTTAATAGAATTCTTAAACTTCTCAGCTCTTTGAGCACGCTAGAGAAAGCAAAAACAGCTCAAGGAACAAATTTAAGAAAAAGGAGGGTTCTTTTTTTAAGGCTTTATTATTATTTTTAAGAATTGTTTATATAGGGACCTCTGTGTGGTTCAGTGTTTGAGCATCTGCCTTCAGCTCAGGGCGTGATCCCTGAGTTACAGGATCAAGTCCCACATCAGGCTTCCTGCTAGGATCCTGCTTCTCCCTCTGCCTAGGTCCCTGCCTCCCTCTCTTTTTCTTTCATAAATAAATAAATAAAATCTTAAAAAACAAAAAGAACTTTTGGTGTATAGTTCATACTATGATACCTCAATTTGAGACAATAAGATTCACTTACCTGAAGGCGGGCCAGTGTCTTGCTGTATTCCCTTTTCAAGAATGCTAATTTTTCCTTCAACTGGAAGAAGAAAAACATCACACAATACTGAGCAGGTAGAAAGGAAGAGTCAGAGAGAAGGGATACATTGCCTATCAGACCCCAGTACACACTGCTTAGCAGGTACCCTCAGCAATAGACAGCGGAGGGAATAGCAGGTGCCCACAATACTTTCAGTTCTCACAAGGCACCAAGTTCTCTAGTACCTCAGCACCTCTACGTAAATGGTTCCTACCACCTGGAGCATTTCCTCCACAACTCATGTAGCTAAGTCCTGATTCTTAAGCCTCAACATAGATTTTTATTTCCCCAGGGTAGACTTCTAGGTCCTTCCTGAAATCCAGGTGAGACATTCCACATCTCCACTGTTCTTCCTTTATCACAATACTTAAACTATGCTGTCTGTTTACTTCCGTTTCCCCCATCTCACTGTGAAATCCCTGAAGGTAGCAGGAGTTGTCATCCTCAGACATTCTTTCAACAAATGAATCTCCTGTCAGTTAATGGTCCAGGTATCTATAGTACCTAGAACAATAACCGATAACCACTATGAGTCAGTTATTGTTTTAGATGCTAGAAACAGAGTTGTCAAGCTTATACACAAGTGAGGGATTCAGAGAATTAACAAGAAAATGAATAAACATATAAGATGATATCACATGATAATCAATACCCAGATCGACAGGGACGTGTGAAAGTGCCTGAGCTACTTTAAGTAGCGTGGCCAAAGAGGCATTTCTGAGGACTACCATTTGAGTGTAGACCTGAAGGAGGAAGGAGCTAGCTTTGGGGAATTCAAAGGAAAAGCAAGGGGCAGCCCAGGTGGATCAGCGGTTTAGTGCTGCCTTTGGCCCAGGGCCTGATCCTGGAGACCCCAGATCAAGTCCCACGTTGGGCTCCTTGCGTGGAGCCTGTGTCTCTGCCTCTTTCTCTCTCTGTCTCTCATGAATAAATAAATAAAATCATTTTTTTTAAAGCAGCAATTTGTTCCAAGATCACATGGTTTATAAATGGCACGATCCAATAGAATCTGTTTTTTTAAATTTTTATTTATTTATGATAGTCACACACACAGAGAGAGAGAGAGAGAGAGAGAGGCAGAGATACAGGCAGAGGGAGAAGCAGGCTCCATGCACCAGGAGCCCGACGTGGGATTCGATCCCGGGTCTCCAGGATTGCGCCCCGGGCCAAAGGCAGGCACTAAATGGCTGCGCCACCCAGGGATCCCAATCTGTGCTCTTAATCTCTATGCTAGTTTGCTTCTCTATGCTTATTTATCTGATTTATCACCACCTTATCAACACCTGAGAATTACCTGGTTGACTTGTAAATAGATCTGTTTCACCTGCTACTGGAAGGTAGATTGGGTAAGTGGACTGATAAACTACTGTGAATGAGGGCAGCCCCGGTGGCTCAGCAGTTTGGCACTGCCTTCAGCCCAGGGCTTAATCCTGGAGACCCAGGATCGAGTCCTACTTCAGGCTCCCTGCATGGAGCCTGCTTCTCCCTCTGCCTGTGTCTCTGCCTCTCTCTGTGTGTCTCTCATGGGTAAATAAATAAAATTAAAACAACAACAACGACAAAAAAACTACTGTGAGTGAAAAGTTTAGCACGATGCCGGGAACAGCCAGCACTGGTACATTCAGGCTAACATCCTCAGCAGGAGCATAGGCGGCAGGGGTAACGACGGCCAGAGCAGCACTGCTGTAGAAGCAAAAGCTGGAAACGCACTAAACGTCTCAGCGGAGTAATGTCCAATGAAAAGATGGCCCTTCCATAATCACCTAACACTCTAGAACTTTATTTTTTTTTAATTTTTATTTATTTATGATAGTGACACAGAGAGGGGGGTGGGCAGAGACACAGGCAGAGGGAGAAGCAGGCTCCATGCACCGGGAGCCCGACGTGGGACTCGATCCCGGGTCTCCAGGATCGCGCCCTGGGCCAGAGGCAGGCGCCAAACCGCTGCGCCACCCAGGGATCCCACACTCTAGAACTTTAAAAGACAAGGCAGGTTAACATGAAGTAACATGGATGAAACATGAAGAAAGAAAACCGAAGTTGCAGAACCATCCAGATCATAATCTTTGTGAACAACAACAAAACACAGACTTTCGGTGGTTTTAGGGGATACAAGCACACCCTTCCAAACCCCCTCGTCCCGCCCACCACGCACACATACACGCGCCAAGAGAGCCACAGCACCAGGCTGTTCAGAGACCTGCTTAAGGGAGTGGGCGGGAGAGCGGGAGAAGCCAGGGCTGCGAGTGCGTCACGGTGGGGAGGACTTCAAAGGGGACTTCGGCTTTACCCGCAACTTTGCACCTCGCATCTATGCATCACTGCTCTAAGACACTCGGTTCTTTAAATGCCTCGCGCGCACAGGCCTCTCCATACTTTCACCCCGGGACCCGCTGCGTCCAAAGGGCGAAGGTCAGAGGTCACGCCACCCGCGGACCGTCGGGGATGCAAAGCCACGCCCCAAACCCGAGGCTAGGAGCCAGTCCCGAGTCAGCCCTTCCCGCACACCCCGGGCACCTTTTCCTTCTCCTCACAGCTGAGGGGCTTCCCAGGAGGCTCCTCCATCGGGCCGGCGGCCGAACGGAAGGAGCAGCCGTCGCCAACCCCCGGGCCTGGGGACGCAGGGAGCCGGGGCCGACCCTGGGCCCCTGGGGCGCCCGGGAAGGAAACGGGGCGCACCCCCGGCGCGCCACCAGCTTGCACATGCGAGCGCCGCGCGCCGTCCCCACCTGGCCAATTGCATCCGCCGCTCCGTCTGCGCACGCGCAGCCCGCGACGGCCGAGTCATGGAGCGGGGCGGCCTAGCGGAGGGCCGAGCTGCGGATGAGCGCGGAGGACGCCGAGACCGGAAGTGGAGGAGCGGCCGGAAGTAGCCCTCATCCCATCCCCGACTGACCGGCTGACAGGCTCCCTGACAGGAGCGGGAGCTGCGGAGAAGAGTCGGCGGCCATGGAGTTGGGCGAGCTGCTTTACAACAAGTCCGAGTACATCGAGACGGTGCGCGTGCCCTCATCTGCCCTCCCTTTCCCGAGGCTGAGGTCCCCATTCTGCCCCTGCCCCACCCTGGGCCCCTTTGGCGTTTAGTCGGACATTACCTGGGGCCGCTTAGTGAATGGCCCACCTTCGTTATTAATGCCTTGCATGGCCAGTTGTAGGTTTTTTTTAAAAAATAATGTATTCCTGATTTCCTAAAGATCAAATGCCTTCCAGAAAGCAGGAGAAGTCTCATCCACCCTAATATCAACAATATCAGTAATATCAATAATAACTCCGGGTTTCGGGGTTTTTTAGACTAATGTGTTTTTTAAAAAGTTAAAAAAATTTTTTATTACTATGTGATAGAAGACGGTTAGGTTCTTTATTGTCAACATAATATATAATATTTATTAATATACAATATATAATATAACTATATTACATAATATATAGTTATATATTATATAATATATAGTGAATGTATATTAATATATACTATATAACATATAATATATGTTATATATGTAGTCAATGTATAATGTGTGTAAATTGCTTGAAGTATGGTGAGGGCTCACAAAGTGTTGCTGTGAATTCTCTCAACTCCGATATGGGTAAAGGCATTATCCTGGATTTAGGGATAGAAATGTAGAACTGAGACTGGAATCCCCGTCTCTGATGTTATTAGGCTCTACACCTACCACATTCAAATCCTGGATGCCTTCCTGGGATCCATGGTTTCCTAATCCATCTTTGGTTTGATTATCCGGGATTCATTCCATGGAAGACTCCACCCCACCCCAAAAAAGTCCTTTTTTCTCCAATAGCTGCTCTCTTGATGGAGACCTCTTAGCCCAGAACCCACTCAGCTTGCCCAGCCCCATTTTCTGCTCTTTGCTTTCAGGCATCTGGAAACAAAGTTAGTCGCCAGTCGGTGTTGTGCGGAAGTCAGAACATTGTTCTCAATGGCAAGGTAAGGGCAGAAGCCAGTTCCAAGATGCCTACCTCTGCTTTCTTTCCACTAATCATCACATTAGCCGGGCAGATCATATGTTGTCACGACTCCCATTTATTGCTGTACATTTAAGAATTCCCTTTTTTTTTCATTCTCTAAATTATTTTTTAAAAAAGATTTTATTTTTTTATGAGAGACACAGATTCAGAGGCAGAGACACAAGCAGAGGGAGAAGCAGGCTCCCTGTGGGAGGAGCTGGATGCAGGACTCGATCCCAGGACCCTGGGATCACGCCCTGAGCTAAAGCAGACGCTCAACCATTGAGCCACCAGGCGGCCCACTCCAAATTTTATTGAACACAAAGATTCAATAAAAGGTGGCAACAAGGGATCCCTGGGTGGCTCAGTGGTTTGGCGCCTGCCTTTGGCCCAGGGCATGATCCTGGAGTCCCAGGATCAAGTCCCACGTCCCATGCTCCCAGCATGGAGCCTGCTTCTCCCTCTTCCTGTGTCTCTGCCTCTCTCTCTCTCTCTCTATGTCTATCACAAATAAATAAATAAATAAACCTTAAAAAAAAAAGAAAAAGAAAAAAGGAGGCAACAAGAGACCTTTTTACCATGATTCCAGGAATGACATACAATGGCACCCAGAACTGAAGTCATTTTATTTTATTTTATTTTTTTAATTTTTATTTATTTATGATAGTCACAGAGAGAGAGAGAGGCAGAGACATAGGCAGAGGGAGAAGCAGACTCCATGCACCGGGAGCCCGACGTGGGATTCGATCCTGGGTCTCCAGGATCGCGCCCTGGGCCAAAGGCAGGCGCTAAACCGCTGCGCTACCCAGGGATCCCTGAAGTTATTTTAAAGTATTGTAATGTGCCCTAAACTACTAGACACAAACATAAATGGGCAACAAAATATTTTAGTGTAGAAGCTATAAAGTACAGTAATATAATTAACTGTTTAGTAATAATGATTCGGTATTAGCTGAAACTCTTAAAATTGAGAATTGGGAATGACACTAGGCTATGAAACAGATTTGCAAAATGGAACATGGAAGGCTGAGAATTTGTAGTCTGAATAAGTTGAAATACCAAAGAGATGAGTATAAACATAGTTCAGTGATTAGGTATAATTAGTAATTATAGACACACTGTTTCTGCACAGAACTAGAAAATTCAGTTAACCCAATCTGACTCGTTAGCAAATGTGTGAAGGTTGTTTTAGAAATCCCTTAGGTAATTTCAAAACATTTTCTGTGATTTTACAGGGAAGATTTGTTTTTTAAATTGTGATAAAACATATGTGATAAAATTTGCCACTTTGTTTTTAAGTGCACAATCCATTGCCATTAATTATATTTATATCTGGGGTGCCTGGGTGGTTCAGTTGATTGAGCATCCAACTCTTGATCTCAGCTCAGATCTTAATCTCAGGGTTGTGAGTCCAAGCCCCGTCCATGCTGGACGTGGAGCCTACTTAAAAAAATCCTATTTAAACCATCATGTAGCCATCATTACTGTCTATTTCTAAAACTTGCATCACCCAGACAGAAGCTTTGTACTCATTTAAGGAATAACTCCCTGTTCCTATCTCTGCTGCTCCCCACTTAGTCACTAATAACTTCAGTCCACTTCCTATCTCCATGAATTTGCCTATTCTACATAGGTAATATTTGTCCTTTTTTGTCTTGCTTATTTCACTTAGCTTAATGTTTTCAAGGTTCATCCATGTTATAGGGTGTAAACTAATACATATATACGTGGTTTATATTCCTGTAAACTATATACATATATAGTTTAGCTTTACTTGACTTCGTTTCCTACTTTTTTTTTTACACTCACTTGTTATAATAATCATAGTAGGAAACACCTATCACACCTACTAAAGTAGAATTGTCCTCAGTTCTGTTTCTAAGATTCACTGTGGTTTGTGTATTTTCCCTCCTGTGTATAGTTCCGTTTATCCTCTCTCTTATTGGTTATTTTGTTCCCAGTTTTTTATTTTGTCCCTTTCAGAACTGTGAGATTTCTATTTTTCTAAATCCTTATATTGGGTGTCACAGTGTTGCAGGGATAGGCAGGGATCAAATAAGTAAGGAAGACTGGATGCCAACAATAGAGAGTGGTGGGGCCTGGTGATGTCCTAGCTAAACTCAGACTGATTGTTGCCATGTGGGAGTCTAGGCTCATGTTTTCTCAGAGCTTCTGATCTTCTCAGAAGAAACTGGAAATCTAGGGTTTTTATTTTTAATTTTAAAGAGAGAGCGTGAATGAGAGAGGGAGCAGGAGCAGAGGGAGAGGGAGAAGCAGATTCCCTGCTGATCAAGGAGCCTGACTGAGATCATGACCTGAGCCAAAGGCAGTCGATTAACAGAATGAGCCACCCAGGTGCCCCTGGATTTTTTGTAATGCAAAATGTCCTACTATTGAAATAATAGCACTAAATTTAAGTGATGAAACAGGCTGCATGAGACAAACAAAACCAGTTTCTAGGTGCAGTTCTTAGACTTGCCACCTTTGCCTCATCCTTTGTTGAGTTCAGTAAACTCTGCTTTAGTACCATTTCCTTCCCTGCGAGATCGTTATGTACACTTGATCTCATTTTAACATCCTGCTGCCTCTCTTTTGAATCTGACTTCCCATCTTCAGGTCCACTCATTATAAGGTAGGAAGCCAGGATTTGAATCCCTTGTGCTAAATCTCTTTGACTTCCTGTGATATCCTTTACTTCTTATGTTTTTTTGTGTTTGCTTCTTCAAATGGGAGTGAGATTTAGACTGCCTGAGGGACTTCTGTGGATTGTCTTTATTCTCAGATTAAGATTGCTTTTTTTTGTTTAAAGCACAGTAAAACAAAAACAACCATTACCAAGTACTCAGTACTCTTGGTATTCTGCTTCCATCCAAAGAAAAGGAAGTCATTTTCTCTGATTGTAGATGGAAACATAAATTGAAAACAATGATTAAAGTAAATGAAGGATTTCAGATGAAAGTACATGCTAGAGGGGCACCTGGGTGGCTCAGTGGTTGAGCAGCTGCCTTTGGCTCAGGTCATGATCCCGGGGTCCTGGGATTGAGTCTCAAATCAGGTTCCCAAAGGGGAGCCTGCCTCTCCCTCTGCCCTTGTCTCTGCCTTGCTCTCTGTGTCTCTCAAGAATGAATGAATAAATAAATAAATAAATGAATAAATAAATAAGAATAAATAAATAAAATCTTTAAAAAGAAAAAAAGAGTACATACTAGAAACAGAGATCTCTTTAAACTTGAATACATTTATTTATTTATTTACTTACTTAGGTTTTATTTATTTGACACAGAGAGAGAGAGAGGGAGCAAAAGCAGGCAGAAGGAGAGGGAGGAGGAGACTCAATTTCAGGACCCTGGTATCGTGACCTGAGCCAAAGGCAGATGCTCAACTGACTGAGCTACCTAGGCGCCCCGAAGAAGACCTTTTTTTTTTTTTTAAGATTTTATTTATTTATTCATGAGAGACAGAGAGAGGCAGAGTCACAGGCAGAGGGAGAAGCAGGCTCCACGCAGGGAGCCCGATGTGGGACTTGCTCCTGGGACTCCAGGATCACGCCCTGGGCTGAAAGCAGATGCTCAACCGCTGAGCCACCCAGGCGTCCTTAAGAACATTTTTAGAAACCAAGAGGAACTTACAGTCTTTTATACTCAGCAGCTGATGAGAAAGTGTGTCTTTACTGGTAGAGGTGTTATAGACCAAACATGTAGGTGAGATTGGTAAACTCTTCTAGGTATGAGCCCACTTTTTTAGTAATTTCTCTTTTTTACTAATTTAGTAATTTTAGCCTGGTGTGCAGGCTAGTGACATATCTAAATTCACCTGTATTCAAGACATTCCTCATCTACCTCTCTAGCCTAATCTTCTGTCCTGGGTCCCACACCTTCATTTACAACTGCTTATTGATCATCCCATAGATACCTCAAACTCAGCATTTCAAAATTGAATTTGTCATCCAATCCCCAGGATCACTCATGCTATTATAGACTCTCCCTCTAGACTCTCTTTCCCCAACATCTAAACAATGAATAGATCATATTGATTCTCTTCCTCTTTTCCCCATTTTTAACATTTTATCGTGGAACTTTTTTTTTAAGATTTTATTTATTTATTTGAGAGAGACAGAATGTGTGGCAAGAGAGAGCATGAGGTGGAGAGAGGGCTGGAGGGAGAGGGATAAGCAGACTTACCGCTGAGCAGGGAGCCCGATGCGGTCCTAGATCCCATGACTCTCTGACTATGATCAGAACCAAAGGCAGACACTTAACCAACTAAGCCATCCAGGAGCCCCTATACTGGAACATTTAAAAAGTTGTCTTTATTGAGATGTAATTTACATACAATAAAGTGTACCCATTTAAAGTTTGCAGTTTGACAGGTTTTGTTTTGTTTTTTAAATATTTTATTTATTCATTTGACAGAGAGTAAGAGAAAGAGCACAAGCAGGGGGAGTGGCAGAGGGAGAGAGACAAGCAAGTGCTTGTCTCGGTGATTCCCACCGACCAGGGAGCCCTATGCAGGGCTCAATCCCAGGACCCTGGGACCATGACCCAAGCAGAAGGCAGATGCTTAACTGACTAAGCCACCCAGGCGGCCTGCAGTTTGACAAGTTTTGGCTGATGTTTACTTCAATGCAGTCACTACCACAATTAAGATATAAAATTTTTCCATCACCCTCATTTTCTTGAACCCCTCTATAGTCAGTCCTCCTATTACCCTTGGCCCCAGATAACCACTGTTATAAAACTAATAGAGATTAGTTTTGCATTTTCTAGAGTTGCCTATAATGGGAATCAGGTACTGTTTGTTGTCAGGCTTCTTTCACTCAGCATAATGTTTTTGAGATTTATTCATGTTGTTGTGTATATTAGTGGGTTAATAATTCATTACTTTTTATAGATGAGCAGTATTATTATGGAACTTTTAAGATACGTATCAAAGTAGAAAGAACATATAACAAATCTCCATATACTCATTCTCTGCCTTCTGCAATTAGCAATATTCTGACATTCTTGTTTCATCTGTGTACCTGCCTTGCAAACCCATACCTATTTTGACCATGGGGAGGGTAGGGAGCTGGGATATTTTATTTATTTTATTTTATTTATTTTTAAATTTGTATTATTTTAAAAAATATTTTATTTATTTATTCATGAGAGACACAGGCAGAGGGAGAAGCAGGCTCCATGCAGGGAGCCCAATGTGGGACTTGATCCCAGGACTCTAGGTCCACGCCCTGAGGCGAAGGCAGACACTCAACCACTGAGCCACCCAGGTGTCCCTATTTATTTATTTTTTTTAAGATTTTTTTTTTAAGATTTTATTCATTCATGAGAAACAGAGAGAGAGAGAGAGAGAGAGAGAGGCAGAGACACAGGCAGAGGGAGAAGCAGGCTCCATGCAGGGAGCCTGACGTGGGACTCGATCCCGGGTCTCCAAAATCAGGCCCTGGGCTCAAGGTGGCGCTAAACCTTTGAGCCACCCACCCAGGCTTCCCTTTTTTAAGGTTTTATTTATTTATTTATGAGAGACACAGAGAGAGAGGGGCAGAGACACATACAGAAAAGCAGACTTTTCGCAAAGAGCCCGATGGGGGACTCCATCCTGGACCCTGGGATCATGCCCTGAGCCAACAGCAGACACTCAACCACTGAGCCACCCAGGTGAGCTAGGGTATTTTAAAGTAAATTGCAAACACTGTATTATTTCATTCATAAATACTTTAATATGTATCACTAAAATTTAAAGGTTTAAAAGAGTACCTTTATGATATATTTTTTAAGAAGCCAGCAATTTCCTAATATCATCTAATCCTCAGTCCATGTTCAGTTTTTCTAGTATCTTAATATGCCTTTTTACAGTTGGTTTATTCAAATCAGGATCCAAACAAAGTCAAGTACACATTGTGTCTGGTTGATGTATCTCTCAGGACCCTTTAAATCTGTAACAGTTCTCTTCCCCTAGCCCATTTTTCTCCCCATGCCACTTACATGTTGAAGAAACTGGCTCATTCTGTAGAATTTACAAATTTTGAAGTCTTTTTTTCTTTTTTAATTCATGAGAGACACAGAGGCAGAGGGAGATATAGGCAGAGGGAGAAGCAGACTCCCCGTGGGAAGCCCGATGTGGGACTTGTTCCTAAGACTCCAGGATCACAACCTGAGCCAAAGGCAGATGCTCTACCACTGAGCCAACCAAGAATTTTCAAATTTTGAATTTGGCCATTTTTAAAAAAAGATTTATTTATTTATCTGACAGAGAGCGTGAGAGAGCACAAGCTGGAGGAGCAGGAGGCAGAGAGAGAGAGAGAAGCAGGCTCTCTACTCCCCAACTGACAGAGCCACCCAAGTGCCCCTGAATTTGGCCAGTTCTATTTACACAGTTGTTGAATGTGGTCTCTCTGTCCCTCTCCTCCCTCTTAATTAATAGATCTGGAGGCTTGATCAGATTCCCATACCTCATATTTCTCTTTTCCTCATGTACAGCTGTTGGCTTAGAGAGGACCCATTCCCTTGTTTTACTCGGATCCACTGTCATCATCTAAAGGGTCACTTTCCCTCCAGTCTGACCTGACCCGTCCATTCAGACTCTAGACTGCTTTCAGAGTAATAGTTCTAAAATGAAGATTTAGGGTCACCTGAGTGGCTCAAATGGTTAAGTGTTTGCCTTTGGCTCAGGTTGTGATCCCAGGGTCCTAGGATCAAGTCCTGCATCGGGCTCTCTGCTCAGCGGGGAGCCTCTTCTCTCTCTTCCTCTGCCTGCTACTCCACCTGCTTATGCACACACACTCACTCTCTCTGTCAAATAAATAAAATCTTTAAAAAAAAATAAATATAAAGATTCAGTGTATTATACCTCTGCTTAAAAACTTTCATTGAGTCCTTATATCCTCTGGGGAAAAAGCCTAAGCTTCTGTATTCAGCATACATAATGCCTCAGAAAGCCTGGTCCCAGCTTACTTTCCTAGCTGTAACCCCAGCCATATGCACTTTTTTTAAAACCGCATTTATTCATTTATTCAAAAGACATTTCCAGAATGCCTACTCTTTACGAGGCACAGGGCATCAATTCCCCCAAACTACTCAGTTCTGTTATTCACCCTGCAGCCCATCTAGGCAGTCTTTGGGCAGCTGGATATCATACCCTGCATTGTAGCACTTCACTTGAGTCAGAATTTGGGAGAAACCAGAAGCTGAATAGGCCTAACTCTGGGAGCATGAGGTTGGAGATAGGAGCGTTGGGAGATTGGACAAAGGTAGGAGCAGCCTGAATTCTCACTGAGAATCACTGAGCAAGCAGCCAAGGCATAGGGGCAGGTGGAACTAAGTAAATCTGAGGAGGTGAGTAAACTAGGTCTACTATAGGCATTCTCAATAAAGGTCTGTTTGTTCAATGAGTCCTATTGATGAGATATTAAGGGCAAAGCTCGTGATATGCTGGGAATATCTTCAACTGAATCACTGTTATGAAGCAATTCTCTTTACCTTAAAAGTTACCCTTTTGACAGCACGTATGACTCAGTAGATCATAGCATAACTTCAATCAGTGTCTTCTTACCAACTCTTTTTAGTTGTTTTAGGCTATGTTGGTAGTTTTTTTAAATGTGCTTTATTTTATAGACCATCGTGATGAATGACTGTATTATCCGAGGGGATCTCGCAAATGTAAGGGTTGGACGCCATTGTGTTGTGAAAAGTCGGAGTGTCATAAGGCCACCATTCAAGAAATTCAGCAAAGGGTATGTAAGTTAATTACTTTGTTTCAGGCTTGGGTGAGATGCTCCTATGGGTGTTGTGTTCCACCTGTTGAGCTGTGGTGTAAGGAGCAGGTCTGTGCTGTGGTTTGGGTCACTGAGGAAGAATTCACTGTAATGAACACAACTCTGGTGGTCTTGGCCTAGCTGTTAGTTGGTGGCCAGAAACAGAATCTACTTAAGTTGGCAAAGGCAGAGGGGGTTCTGATGAAGAGACACGGGCATATTTAATGGAATATAAGGGTAGGAAAAGGGCCAGGCCTCACAAGGGACTAGAACATGTAACTGGACAGCCAGAATCAAGACAACTATTCTATCTCTCTTCTACCGAGATGATATTATTTCTTATCAGTCCTTGTCTCTGCATTTCTGCTTCCTTCTCCTCTCTTTCACACTGGTTTCATCTTTCCCTTTTTCTCATGGAGCCAACTGTGCTGCCTCCCTTATTCGTGTCAGTTCTCTTTAGGCTAAGCAGATACCAGCCAAACATTTTAAGTCTTATTTCCAGACTTTTGGCAGAGGGCATCTGATTGGTTCAGCAGGAGTTAAGTGCCCACACTTTGTCTTAAACAATTTTGACCCAGAGGGCAGGGGTAAGTCAGACCCACTCTTCTCTTGGTGGGAGTAAAGATTGTCTAAGAAAGGACATGGACATGGCAGGAAAACTGTCCACTATGCCTGATATACTGGGTTTTGGAGGGTTGGTTTTTTTGTTTCTTGGTTTTCGGTGGGGTTTATTTGGCCTCTCTCCCTCTTTTCCCTCCTGGCTCCTACCTATGGCACCATCTGCATTTCATTGAGTAATTGAGCAAGCATTGATTGCTTTCTTTATATCAGTCACTAGATTCTAAGATGGGTAAGTAAAGATAGGTGAAATTGCATTCCTGCCTCAAAGTTATCAAAAACCTAGTGATAGAAATATTTACATACATAAATGGTTACTATAAAATGTGATAGCCACCATATAAAGTGAAACTCCTGTCACAGGGCCATAAACATGGTTAGGGAGGAACAGAGAAGAGAGCAACCAACTCAGACCATAATATGTAGGAGTAGTGTGTGCAGGAATCATTGCTCATGTCTCAGAATGAGGCCAGACTCCAGGCTTTCCATTACATACAGGAATGAGGGCAGGGAGTCAGTGTAAATCATTCACGTGAAAACATTTGCTCATTAGCTCAGAAGGCTATTGGGAGGAAACTAGAAAACCTTGTGGTGGCCTTTTGTGGTTCCATACTGTGACAGGTACTCTGCTAGAGTTGTTGATTCCCCCTTTTGTTGGCAGCATTATTGGGCTGGATATGGTCTCAGAAAAGCACCAAGAATAAATAGGGGGTTTGTTGGTGAACAGTAGGATGTGTAAATAGGAATAGTCCACATGAGAAATATAGGAATACAAAAGTGTAAATAGCAATGCATGAATAGCAAATGAGTATGGATTCCCCCATCCCCCACCCCACATATCTCAATACCAAAATCAGATAATAGATAATGAAACCAGATAGTAATACCAAGTTTGGAAGTTTTAACTAATTAATTTATTTATTTTAAAGATTTTATTTATTCATGAGAGAGAGAGAGGGGCAGAGAGAGAGGCAGAGACATAGGCAGAGAGGAAGTAGGCTCCGTGCAGGGAGCCCGACGTGGGGCTCGATTCCGCGTCTCCAGGATCATGCCCTGGGCTGAAGGCGGCGCTAAACCGCTGTGCCACTGGGGCCGCCCTGGAAGTTTTAATTTAAAATTCAAAAGCTAACAGTGTTGCTATAGACTGTGGTAAGATCAAGGAATTCATTGTCATACAAGGGTCCTCGATCAAAAATACAAATGGATTAAGGAAGATTTAAATAAACTATAGGTCCAGGGAGGACAAGCATCGTCTCTGACAAAATATTCTTGACAGACTGGAATACAGGACTAGAAAAAGCCAGCGAGCATACAGCTACTTCATTTTAGTTCCAGTCCAAATATTTTCCATCCTAAGGTACTAAAGTTGGTAGTGTGACCAGAGAACAACTGTGAGTGACATTGAGGAATCATGGAGAATGGGAATGATGTCAAAAATCTGGAGAAAGCCTATTGACTCCTACTCATCCTTCAAGTCTTGATCTAAATGTTATTTTTTTTTAAAAGATTATCTATATTTATTTGAGAGAGGGAGCACAAGCGGGGTTAGGGGCAGAGGGAGAGGGACAAGCAGACTCCCCACTAAGCAGGGAGCCCAACTCGGGACTCGATCCCCGGACTCTGAGACCATGACCTGAGCCAAAGGCAGATGCTAACTGTCTGAGCCACCCAGGTGCCTCCACACTTTTTTTCTTTAAAGATTTTTTTTTTAGGGGAAAAAAAAAAAAGATTTTTTTTAGGGACACCTGAGAGGCTCAGTGGTTGAGCGTCTGCCTTTGGCTCAGGGCGTGATCCCAAAGTCCTGGGATCGAGTCCCGCATCAGGCTCCCTGCAGGGAGCCTGCTTCTCCCTCTGCCTATGTCTCTGCCTCTCTCTATCTGTGTCTCTCATGAATAAATAAATAAAATCTTAAAAAAAAAAAGGGGGGGTTTATTTATTCCTTAGAGAAGACAGATGAGCAGGAGGAGGGGCAGAGGGAGAGGGACAAGAAGAATTCCCACTGAGCAGGGAGCCCTGGGATCGTGACCTGAGCTGAAGGAAGACATTTAGCCGACTGAGCCACCCAGGCACCCTAGGAGCAGTCTTATTGAGACAAGATGTTGAAGTTGAGAGTATGATTTGCAGTTTTATATAAACCTTGATCAAAAGCACATCATACTGACATTTTTGTTGTTCATCTTCTTTTCCTTCTCTAGTGTTGCATTCTTTCCTTTACATATCGGGGACCATGTTTTTATTGAGGAAGATTGTGTGGTCAACGCAGCTCAGATTGGCTCTTATGTTCACGTTGGCAAGAACTGTGTGATTGTGAGTATGGTGTCTAGCCTCACTGCCCTTCCAGGTCCCGTCCCTTACATCAGTAGGCCTCTCCTGTGACCAAGCAGGGTAGAAGTAGTTTCTGGTCTACTGGAATTAGAGTTTGGATTTGGAGTTTTCTGGGCATTAATAATCATGGCTAAACCTTTTCTTTTTTCTTTTTTGGCTAAACTTTTTCTAACCTCTTCTATATGATGTTAGATTTTGCCTTTGATTATTTCATTTGACCCTCATAATTATCCAAGGGTGGTAGTTACTATTATTACCCCTGTCTTCAGGCAACAAGCCTGAAAACCTTAGAAATTAGGGGATTTGACAGGGCAATGAATGGTAGAGCTGGGATTCTAACCCAGGCAGTATGGATAGCATGCCCACCCTGTGGCCTACCTATTGCTTTATCTCCAGGATTGTACAGTCTAGCAGAGACCTGGGGCATGACATTAGGGGAACTGCAAGGAGTTCAGGGTGATGGGCATGCAGGGTACAAGTGGGCCCTTTTTCAGTGAAACCTATAGGACCCTGGTCCACAGGAGCCTTGGCACCTACTTGTTTCATATGGCCAAGGTGTTACAAAGTTGAATTTCTTAGTATTTCATAGATGAAGAGCTTGATTTCATTTGGATTTCTGAGAATATCCTGGATGAGAGTGTTAATGACCAGAGCTGAACTGTCTCAAAGATTAGGGAAAATGTTGCCTATATTTTAAATTTGGACCCAAATTCTAGCTTCTAAGACAAGCCAAGAACTTTTTTATGTTTTTATTATTATTTTTTAAAAGAATTTATTTATTTAGTTATTTACTTACTTACTTACTTATGAGAGAGAGAGAGAGAGAGAGGCACAGAGACACAAGCAGAGGGAGAAGCAGGCTCCATGCTGGGAGCCCGACGTGGGACTTGATCCCGGGACTCCAGGATCGTGCCCTGGGCCAAAGGCAGGCGCTAAACCACTGAGCCACCCAGGGATCCCCCTTTTTATGTTTTTAAATGGGTGTTCCAAGGACATCTGGGTGGCTCAGCGGTTTGGCGCCTGCCTTCAGCACGGGGCATCAGTGATCCTGGAGTCCCTGGATCGAGTCCCGCATCGGGCTCCCTGCATGGAGCCTGCTTCTCCCTCTGGCTGTATCTCTGCCTGCCTGCCTCTCTCTCTCTCTCTCTCTCTCTCTCTCATGAATAAATAAAATCTTAAAATAAATAAATAAAAATAAATGGGTGTTCCCAGTAATACAGAGGGAGCTCTCTGTTCTAGAAAAGACTCAAGTATCAAAATACTTGGAGGAACCATGCAGTCACATTCTGTAAGCCACAAGAGCACAGCAAAGGTGGACCATGCAATGGAGAGCCACAGTGCTGTGGAAAATATCCCAATCTGACTTGTTAGGCAGAATTAAATGACGTGGTTGTTTTGCCAGATATTCTCCTCCAGGAGTCCATATATATGTATTGGAGACAGAGGGTCTTTAGTTTGGCATGATGTTGAAGAAAGGGGAAAACAGTGAAACCCATCCTATCCCCTCATTCTGTGTGACAAAAGCTGGCTTTCTAAGCCATAGCTGTTTTTTTGACATTTTCTTCAAAGTGATGACATCCTCATAGTAGCCTCGTGTGTCAGTCCTGTCCTTTAGCCTCAGAGCAAAATGTCTGAACCATTAAAATCCAAATGCTCTTCCCAGTGCTTAAGGAGTTCTAGTTTTCTTGTCCTGTGGTCTTTTTGTGCCACTTTTTTTTTTTTTAAGATTTTATTTATTTATTTGACAGAGAGAGAGCCAGAGAGCACAGCCAGGGTAATAGCAGAGGGAGCAGGAGAAGCAGACTCCCTGCTCAGCAGGGAGCTCAATACTGGGTTCAATACCAGATCTTGGGATCATGACCTGAGCCCAAGGCAGATGTTTAACTGACTGAGCCACCCAGGCACCCCTTTGTGCCACTTTTTGATACATTAGTTCAGACATAGTCACTGTTGGGTATTGGCAGTACTTATTTGTGAGCCTTTTACAAATTCTCAATCTCAGGAGAAAGATTCTTTTAGAGTTCTAGAATCTCAGAGCTCACAGGAACTCTTTTAAAAGTCCAGCTGTCCCCATGACTCACAGATCCTTCCGATAGCATTCATTTGGTAGTCTAACTCCCGTTTGGGTGTGTGAAGGTATAGGTGTCAGAGTGGCTCAGATGCCTGCCGGAGAAGCCACACAGGCATTCTTCATAAGAACTGTTACTGTGCTGTGAGCTTTACATTTATTGTCTCTAATCCTCATTGTGTCCATGCGAGTTTGGTTTTATGTCTTGTTTTACAGACAAGGAAACTAAGTCAGAGAGATGCTGAGTGACTTGTGTAAGGAGATACAGGTAGCTGTGATACTGGCAACATGGAGTTCTTGACTCTTTGGAAAGTCCTCCAGGAAAGAACAAAGATGCACTTTCAGCTTTTGATCTTTTTATCTATTGCCAATGCATTCATGCCTAAGAAGTACCAGCATTTTGACTTTTGCTGCTATTTAAGTGATCAGCTCGCCCAGAATGCTCTGAAAGCTGATTACGCATCATTTGCCCGAGTGGGCAGAATGGCTAACTAGTGGATACAGCAGGTGCCTCCAGACTGTGTACATGGCGGAAGGTTTTATTCACACTGCTCTTCTTTTCCAGGGCCATTTATCTACAGATTCCCTCTGTGTGAATGTGTCATGCCTCATGCAGCACATTCAGCTTTTTTCCATTCAGTGCCCATGTGCTTAGTCAGAATTATAGGAGCGTAGGTGTCATAGGCTATCTTTGAGTTAATTTGAGAGTCACCAGGGGAGCTGGCCAGCTGCTATATTTTTGGAATTGCCACTAGCAGGTAATTCATGGGAGAGAACTTTCCAAGAATGAATGGATTGCTGCAGTGGTGATTTGTTCCTAAGCTACAGAGAGCGCCAAGGATTGCCAAGGCTATTATTCGCCTCGCCAGACAGCTTAGTAGTCACTTCAGAAATTCATACCTTCGAGGTATAAGCTTTCTAAAAATTCATTTGGTAATCTACCTGAAAATTCCTGGAAGTACATGCAATTTGGGTATTTTTTAGTAATGGGGAAATTTTTAATACAACCAAGTCAAATTATTTTTCATATTCTTTGGTAAAATCTGAAATCTGGACAGGTTAGCCTTGTCTTGATGTTGTTAGGGATTCCACATTGTCATCCAAGTATGGTTTTAAAGATTTATTTATTCATGAGAGACACGGAGGCAGGGACATCAGTAGAGGGAGAAGCGGGATCCCCATAGGGAGCCCAATGCAGAACTCGATCCAAGATCCCACCCTGAGCCAAAGGCAGATGCTCAACTGCTGAGCCACCCAGGCATCCCTGTTAGCCAAGTATGTTTTATCAGATCATTTGACCAGAGCACAAGTGAACTCACAGGCTCTGGTGATGTAAATTCAGTCAGCGAAAACCCAAACTTTCATTTACCCAGCAGGTAGTCTGAGGCACAACTTTAATCTGTAAACAAGCCTGTCCTTTCCCTTAACCCAGGAGACAGATGGATCTACCAGACCTTATTTCTTGCCCTCAAAATGCTGTGAATGGTGGCAGAATTGAAAAGTGGCAGCAGTGGATAAGTCAAGCATAAGGCTTGGCTTAAACCTTCAAAATGAGCATATTTGCTAATACAAACCAGTAGTAAAAAGTAGACTCTTATTTGATGCACAAGTGGCTCCAAGGGTTCGATTGATACGAGAATTAGTCTCCTCTTTCCCACTTTCCCTTGGAAGGTTCTCAGGCAGGTTTTTCCCTCATGGAAACAAGACAGCTGGTCCAAATGTCTGTCCTATCCTCTAGAAATCCTACTGGAAAGAGCTACTTTTCCCAGTAATACCAGCAGAATCTTTGACAATAGGATTCATCAGACTGATTGGGCTCATTCCCCACATCAGTTGCTGTGGCCAGGCTTGGGGCTTGGGGTTAGCCTAGGGGACTGTGATGGGCAGAGGGGTGGTTTCCAAGAACAATACAGGTTCTGTTACAGAAGAAAGGAGATCAGATGTCAGACAAGCATAATAATAAATGTCTACTGCATTTTAAAAGACAAGCAGAAAATCGCACTACTCTTGGAAGACTGAATTTGAATCTGTAATGCCAAAGATAACATGAACTGTCCCTAGCATTCAACCCTTCTCCAAGTTCATGCACAAATGCACACATACACATGCACATTCATATCCCTACCTCCTGCTTGTCAGGTGCCACCCAAAATAGGGAATTGTGGCCAAACCTCTTGTCATTGTCCTTATCTATTATATGATAGCATGGATAGAGAAAATATAAAATAGCATTCCATACAGCAGACCAGGCAACTTTTATTCAAGCATTTCCTGCTCTATTTCCTAGTGACAAGATTTTAATTTCAGGGGCGCCGGTGTGTGTTGAAAGACTGCTGCAAAATTCTTGATAACACAGTATTACCCCCAGAAACTGTGGTGCCACCATTCACTGTCTTCTCAGGCTGCCCAGGTAAGCTTGGCTGTTGAATATGAAAGCTCATTTTCCATCACAAAAAAAACATACGCAATTTTTATCTCTTACAATGTATTGATCTAGCTAATTTAAAAATTCTCCTGCTACAGATTACCTAGAAATGCTATCTAAAATATAACCAGTATCTTTTCAAATGCATAATTGGGTTCATAAGGAAATTTCAAGGGTCAGAAACAAAGAGGAAAATAAACTCTCACTATAAGTATGGTTAGGTCTATGTATCTTCCTAATTAGAGTAGTTTAGGGTTTCATACTCCTGTAGGGATGAGAAAGAAAGCCTTGTATCCACAGAGAGATCCTCTTAAAGTGTGATCTCACAACAAAAAGCTGATAGAGAGTAAACCCACCACCAGCCCAGGAAAAGTATAAAGAAACAAGACTCTCTTGGCCTGGGTTCTGGGTAGAAAAAGAAAAAGTCTCCATTTCTCTCCAGAGGATTCTAACAATGGCTTCATGTTGGTTGGAGATTTGAGCTTATATTTCCCACATTGCCCAAAAATGCCCAAACTGAAAATTTGACGTTAACCGTGGTCTAAGACTAATGATAGCTCTAGGACACCCAAGAGAAGCAAGTACATCCCCTCTCGATCTTGGCTCACAGAATGCCATCAGGTAAAGCCTTCATCAGCTCAGTGTTCCAAATGATCAAACACGTGAGGAAACAAAAGTGATACATGCATATCCTAGAAAACTTGGAAAACAGAAAATCAGAAGGAAGAAGAAAATCTCATGTCCACTATCCCACCCCAAGGCAGTCTCTTTTCTTCTCCATGTGGTTTTATATAGATGAACTTATGCAGTGTGGACAGAGGGCACACCAGAGATTCACAGATGGAAGATGCTATGTAGAAAGAGATTTGACAGTAGATGAGATCTGCCACCAACTGAGTGGTTTAGTTGCTTTTCTAATTAAAAAAACTCATCACTCAGATCATTGACTTTGGGTTTCAAAGATGTACAAAATCATCTACTTAGAATCTTTGGGGAGGAAATTGGCTGTTCTGCTGTTTCCATGCATCTCTGCATTTGCAGAGGAGGAAGGAGAGCCTTGCTTAGTGATTCTCCCTATATTGGGTTCCCACTGTGGAAAAGCCTCATTGTTCTTAGCAAATGCAGATTAGAATAGCCCCAGCCCTTTGTCTTAGGTTGATTGTCAGACAGTTATCTGATCTGAGATGAGAAGTAAATTGCCAGAGAAATACCTTAATCTCTTTTAACTTATTCACGGTTCTTAGAACCAGGTGTGGTCTTTGTGCATTGATGACTGAGGCGGGAGACACCACTTGGTATTTGTTTTGTTTTGTGTTTGTGTTTTCTTTTAAAAGATTTTACTTCTTTATTCATGAGAGACACAAAGAGAGAGGCAGAGACATAGGTAGAGGGAGAAGCAGGCTCCCTGCCGGGAGCCTGATGCGGGACCTGATCCCAGGACCCCAGGTTCCCGGGATCACAAGGGATCACAACGTGAGCCGAAGGCACTCAACCACTGAGCCACCCAGGCGCCCCTACTACTTGATATTTTAAATCCAAATAAGCACTGTGTTTGGAGGTTCTGATGGAGGATTCAAACTGCCTGAGACCTCAGAGATCATTGTGTAGATGGGGAAACTGAGAGATTGGACTGTCTGTCTACAGGATCAGAGCTGGTTCATAGGAAAGCCTTGACTAGCACTTAAAACCCTTATTTAGAGTCTGGTACTTTCTGCATTGTGACAAGAGACTTCCCATGTTTGTTTTCAGTATTTTCACAAGGAAATGCTAACATCTAGATACTGCTGTTGGCAATTTACATCTTTTATAAAGAAGTCTAAGACTGTAGGACAGCCAGCACAGTTTTGGAGGGCTCCACTGTGTGACATTGAGTAGTGGAACAAAATGAAAGGCGAATCATCCAGGAAGAATCTGGGTCACAAACTAAAAAGCCTAAACTGCCTGTAGGAGTCAGAAGTGATTGAAGTAATAGCCTATCATGGCTGTCCCAGAATACAGGTGTAACATTATAAGAACTTCTGATATTTCATGAGGAGCTAAAAATCTGAATTTCTATGGGATATATCTGAATTTTTAAGGGTTGGCTGCTAACTTTTTAAAAAAGATTAAATACTGTACAGGCTAAACATATGTTTGTAAATCTAACATGGGCTGCTCATTTGTAAAAGGTAGATGTCTGTGAGAATTTTGTATTTTTTAGACTTTTTTTTCTATCCTACCTGTTATATTCTCTCTATATATGTATGCAAGTGTCTGTGTTTGTTTTGTATGCATATTAATGCAGAGGTATGTATTGTATATGTGTATATATGTACTTGTGTATATAACACAGATATATAAAACTGCTTAACCTGTATAAACAGATTCACACTTTCTCTTGTTTGGAAACTTGTGTTCTTAATGGTGTATCTTGGGCATCTTTTGTCGTATGTAGAGATTCCCCTAATTCCTTTTCATGGTTATGTGGTTTTCAGTGCATAAAAGCACCACAGTGTAACGGATCAATTCCCTGGTATAATGGGTCATTAGACGCTGTATCTGGATTTTCACTATTAGAAACTTTGCTGCATTAATATTCTTGTACATATATTGTTTAATTGGGCAAGGTTATTTGGAGGGTAAATTCTTAGAATTGATTCTTCAGGCTACAGAGTGAACTTTTAAAAGTTTTGCTAGATTTTCCAAAATTCCTCTTCAAAATGGTTGTACAAATACATGCTTCCACCCATAGTGTACAAGAGTGCCTCTTTCCTAGAAATCTTTAAATACAATTTTTTGTCTTTCAATAGGATATTTCTGTTCTACTCCCATCCACGATTTGTCTATATGTAGCAGGTTTGGGGGTTGGATTCAGTTTCATTGTATGAACAACAGAGCGGTTTCTTACCTCAAAGGGTGTTCACCTTGGCTTGCCCTGTAGGTGTCACACCACAATCCAGGGGATGGACCAATCTTTGTCTGAAACAACCTCCCATGTAGTCAGAGATGCCTTAACTCTTCAGATCATACAATAATGTACTAACTGCTTTTATCTGGAAGATATTTATCCATTCGAGGATTTGTATTATTGTTTGTCTCCCCCCACACACAAAAATTCCATCTTGAAGATACGGTCAGTAAAATTATTCTGCTAGTGTTGAAGCTGGAAGACCTAGCATTTAGATGCTCATGAGTGAAGAAAAGGGCCTCATGGGGGTTTAAATGGAAATTAAAACTGCTGGCCTTCCTCGGCTCCAGTTCGTTGACCAGGTCTTTCTTTCTCCAGGACTGTTTTCAGGGGAGCTCCCAGAATGTACCCAGGAGCTGATGATTGACGTCACCAAGAGCTACTACCAGAAGTTTTTGCCCTTGACACAGGTCTAATGTCTCTGCCTCGTGTCTTGAATTCGTTTGAGCTCTAAGATGAACTTGGGGACAAAGTGAGCCAGCCAGCATCTACAAAGAGCTCTTGTGTCTTTGATACCTTCTGCTCTCTTTTTCTTTGTCTGGTTTTAATTCTTTAGAATTTCCCAATCCTTCCAGATTCTAAGCTCTTAAGACTTTGACAACAGAATGTCTGGAGGAATTGTGTCCAAATGCTGTGCTTAATGGTCTTATCTATTAACGGTCACTTATAACATTATCTGTGGAACACAGAATCATCTGTTCCCAGCACTCCCACCCCTTGGTGCTGTGGGTGATGGGATCCTGCTGAAACAGGCCTGCAGAGCAGGGCGTGTCCCAGGTGGAGGTGGTGAAGCTGGCATGCTACTCATGGCCATTAGCTGCCCACACAGTGAGCACCTCCCACATGGGTCACTCTCAGCTTCAATGAGAGCAACATTTGGCCAGTTGCTACAATTGCTAATGGCAATTGGGGGGGGGGAAGTGTTTGTGAGTTTTCAGAGCCCAGATTCTTTTTGGCTACTAAAACTTGAAGGTAGGAGTGGTTAGCATTTCTCCTCTTCCCAAAATGATCTTAAATGTCATTTTAACCCAGGGTGATTAATAAAAGGCTATCTAGCATTCTGTTCTAGGGCCTTTGGCTTTCACTAGAAGGGGTTTTATTTTTGCAAAGACCTAGGTATGAGTCTCCTGTGTGGATGAACTAGTCTAGCAGTCACTCCTTGCCTCACAGTATTTGGAGGCAACAGCATATGCCTTATTTCCTTGAAGACGTAGCCTTTGTGACACTTGTCCTCTGGCCTAGAGCCATTCACCCACTCGTATTTGCCATGAACCTTACATTTCAGACCAAAATATCTGTACCTGGACCCAATCACATATATACACGGGGGACTCTTAAATCATTCTGTGGGCACAGAGCCCTAAGGAGTAAATGAAGTTACTAGTGCTGTTCTTAACTCTCTCCTGGGGAATAACACAACCTTGCCTGGTTTTGCTCTGACTTCTTGGTCTAAAAGGAAGAGTTAGAAAGGAAGGTCTGAAAGGCTTTGCTTTGCTTAATGCTCTGATTCTTTTGTGAACAGGATAAGGTAGTCCAGCCTTGAAGGTTAGGATCTAGCAGGAGCTTTCCTGACTTAATATCTGGTTGTGAGGTTTGTTAAAATGGCTATATGTGGTGATCTCCTCTAGGTCAATGTAAAACTGTTCCAGTTTGTCGGGTTTTTTTATGTTTGTGCATTAAAAGATTAACACGGGAAACAAAGCATTTGAAGGTGATCCTCTCCACCTCCATGATGGCTACCTCACTTCATCAGGCAGCCTCCCTGCTGAGCAGGGAGTCCAGTGTGGAGCTTGATCCCAGGACCCCTGAATCATGACTTCACTGCATGCCTGGTCCCTTGCTATAAATTTTACATTAACTATATTGCTATGGCTCACGCCAACCCAGTAAGGTAGATGTTATTCCTATTTTACAGATGAGAAAAAAACTCAAAGATCTTAGATAACTTGGCACAATCCATATAGTGAAGAAGTAGCTGACCCAGGTGTATCTGGCAGCCTAGTCGTGCAATTCATCTCTCCCCTAGTAAGATGAGACTACGCTTGCCCTTGGAGCACATCTGCTACGAGTCCTATCTGACACCAGTAGTCTGTAATGGCTGCAAATTTTTTTTTTTTAAATCATTTTCTGGCATCTCTCCCAGCCAGAGGGAGATGGTATTGATTGAACCATCTGACAGTGTCTGTCACAGACAGGAAGCCCAGTGTCCCTTCTGAGATGACTGACTCCTTGCAATGTGCCCTCTTGTCTTGTAGCTGCAGTTTTGAAGGTAAATGGGAGTAGGTTCCGTGAGAGAATTGTAGAATTGTCTTGCTTGCAGTCAAGAAATAGTGTCATAAAATTCCGTACCATATGGTTGGCACACTATAGAGGAATCTGCAAGTTGGATTAGACAAAAATCCAGTTAGAATGCTTTGTTGCAAGTGACAGAAATGCAGCTTGCACTGGCCTATGGGGCTGATAAGGCCAATTTAAGTAAGAAATGGATTTTATTGGCTTCCACAACAAATCATGGAAAAGACTAGTTTGAGAGGCAGCGTAATATGGACCTTAGGCATGTTACTTAATCTCTCTGCCCTGGTATCCTAACCTATACAACAAGAATGACAATAGTGTCCCCCACAGAATTGGTTCAGATTAAATAAGCTACTATATATATAAACATTAAAGATAACTCCTAGCACTCTGTAAGTAATAATATTATCACCACAGGGACAACTGTATCCAGAGATTTAAACCCCATAGAGCTCTTTGTTTTCTATATCTTTTTAAAAAAGATTTTATTTATTTATTTTTTAAGATTTTACTGATTTATTTGAGAGGGCATGTGCATGAGTGGGGGTAGGGACAGAGGGAGAAAGAGAAGCAGCCTCCCTGCTGAGCAGGGAGTCCAATGCAGGGCTTGATCCCAGAACCTCAGGATCATGACCTGAGCTGAAGGCAGATGCTTAACTGACTGAGACATCCAGGACCCCTTGTTCTGTATATTTTTTTCACCTGCACATTAGTAAAGGTACAGACGAGGCTGCTGTAACAGAGAGACCATGGAAATACTGTGGCTCCAACGAGTTATCCCTCCTAACAGTGCAGGGATAGGCAGGTTGTTCGGGACAAATAGGTGGCTGGGCTCAGTGAACTTATCAAATACCCAAATTACTTGGCCACCCTTAGCTACAAGAGAGGCTGTAAATTTAGTCACTGTTTGGGTAGCTAAAACTCTGAAGAAGGAGATTCTAACAGTAAAAAGGAGAGGGGGAGATTGGACTAGGGAAACAGTAAGCAAGCTCTCCCAAGCCTGTGTGTTGGCTTCCTTTTCTCCTACTGTGAGTGGGCTTTCCCCACGCATTGGGGCATGTGGCAACTGACAGCTCCAGATTCGTACCCTTCCATCTTGGTGACCCTGAAAGAAAGCCTTTTTCCCTCCAGTACTAATTTGTAAAAGTCCCACAGAAAGGTTCTCAGTGGCTTCTGGCAAGTCCCATACCCTTTTGGATTAATTACTGTGGCCAGGGCCGTACCTTAGACCTGATCTGGGTCATGAGCTTTCCTCCATCCCTCCATGGTGGGAATGGGTGGAGAAACAGAGCCCATCACCAAAGCAAGGTATTGGGCAGACAGAAACAATAGCTAGTTCAAACAGTAAAAGAGTCTAATTATGGACTGATACTGTTAGAAAGGCTGTTGACAGTCTTGTGTCCTAGGAAAGGCCAGCTGGACTCTGTCTCCATGGTGGCTCTCACCCCAGGGACAATCTGTCACCAGACAATCTGTCACCAGATAATTAAAACTCAGAGAAGAAAGTATCTTGTCCTCACAATACTCCCAGAAGAGCAGACTGATGGGAGAGACCTTGGTTGGGACTCTTTCCAGTTGGCTTAGGGTAGAGGGGGAACTCACTGGCCTATGGGGCTGATAAGGCCAGGGCCAGATTGGACTTCAGGCCATATTCCAAGACTCACAACAGCATCATCAGGGATCTGTCTCTTCAGTTCTTTTTTTTTTTTTTTAATTTTATTATTTTTTAAGATTTTATTTACTTATGAGAGATACATAGCGAGAGAGAGAGAGAGAGAGAGGCAGAGACACAGGCAGAGGGACAAGCAGGCCCCATGCAGGGAGCCCGACGTGGGACTTGATCCCGGGTCTCCAGGATCAGGCCCTGGGCTGAAGGCGGCACTAAACCGCTGAGCCACCCGGGCTGCCCTGTCTCTTCAGTTCTTGAGTCTGCTTTCCTTTGAGTTGGCTTCACAAGTGACCCTGCAGTTCCAGTTATTAATAGAAAGAACTCCCCTTCCTTTTTTTTTTTTAATGATTTTTTATTTATTTGTGAGAAAGACCGCACAAACAGGGGGAGGGGAAGAGGGAGAGGGAAAAGCAGATTCCGCACTGAGCAGGGAGCCTGACACAGGGCTCGATCCCAAGACCCTGAGATCATAACCCGAGCTGAAGGCAGACGCTTAATCGACTGAGCCCCCCAAGCACCCCAAAATTCCCCTTTCTTGACAAAACCCGTGGACCTGGCTTTCATTGGCCCAAACCTGGGAGCTATCAAGCCTCAAGTAATCATCATGGCCAGGAAGGTGGAATGCACTGAATGCCTAGACCTGGGTGGGGCACATGCCCACATGGACTGCAAAGTGGTACCTGGTAGTTGTGTGTGTGTGGAGGAGGTGATATTACCAGAAGAGAGGATGAATGGTTGCTAGGCTGGAAAAATCACCTGTCCAGTTCACACCTCTTCCTTTTCTCCAGTTGTCCTCACTATCCTCAGTCTGCCTACCCTTACCACATTTCCAATCTCATTACCCTTGGTCTTGGGAGGGAGGGTGCCTCCTGAGAGGTACCTGGGTCTGGCACAGAGAGGATATTGCTTATCAGAAGTGTAGTGCCCAATAAAGAGCCATTTAGAGGATGCTCCTCTGCCTGGAACTGCTTCCGTGTGGACCCCCATAACACCTTGTGGAAGGACACTTGTCAAGATTTAGATAGCATTCTAGTTATGTACTTGTGTTCTTGTCTGAGCCCACACCAGCTAAGGAGTCCGGTGTGAGCCTGTGGGTATCTGGCATATACTTAATAGAGTGTTTACCTGGATATGAGTTCCTTCACCCCTGAGTCCCTACCCAGCCTAAGTAAGTCTCATGTTGTAGGATCCCTGGTGCAGGAAACAAGGACGAATGACTGGTTTGTGCACCTCCTGTTGGTGTATTCTGTTGCATGTGGTCACACAGGGCTCCTGTGGTTAGTTGGTATCTGCAGTGGCTTCTGAATTAGTCACTTCTGCATGGGCCATTTCACTCAGCGCCTGAGGCCACAGTTCCCTTCTTTGTCACTCTGACCCATGTGGGTGCTGACAGACTTGACGTGAATCAGACAAACATTGCTTCTATTTAATACATCCTTGGAAGTTTTTCAGCTATAAAGAGGGGATTTTGGTGGATAGGGAGGCCTTTCTTGGTGCATTGATCTGGCCAGTGAGAGCCCACGGGGGTCTAGAACATGGAGCCCCAGACATGTTTTGACTTGCCCTCAGCTATTTCCAGGACAAACTGGCATTATTGGACCTGGTTGGTTGCCTTGGGTGATTAGATCTTGGGAGCTGATCCCCTGGAGGATAGCTTCTGTGGTGCTGCAAGGCCCGTGTAATGCCATTGGCAGTGTTGAGACAATGTGTTAAGGCTTTGTTATTTCAAAAGAGCTGTCAGGAAAGTGTCCTGCCATCTTGAACCAGTTCCTGTAAGTCCAGGAACACTGAAACACTTCGAGAGCCCCCAGTAATGGGGTTGTGCTTTTCTAGAACATGCACTTGAGCTAGGAAGGTGGGTTCCTGACTACTTGCTACATCTCGCATTTACTCATTTAACAAACACCTGTTGTGCTGCTGCTGAGTACCAGGCCCTGCCTTTCTTAGCTCCTGTAGAAAATAAGATGGAGCCAGACCCCTTCTGGAGGGAATCTTACTTTTTTAAAAATTTTATTTAAATTCAACTTGCCAACATACAGTATAACACCCAGTGCTCATCTCATCATGTGCCTGGAGGGTCTTATAGATTAGTAGGAGAGAAAGCCAAG